GCTCATGCAACTGGTGTGGATTCAGATCCTGTAGATATTAGGCCCAGTAAAGTAATGGAGCAATTGATTACTGACTGACCCCAATGTCACTAAAGACACTTCTTTCTGTTCAGCCACAGCATTATTTTCATTACAACCACAAGAACTGAGACCAACAACCACCAGCCGCTCTATGACACACTATACAGTCAACCCAAATGTTATTCAAACATAAACAATAAAAAAGTATAGTTCTAAATATATATATATATATATATATATATATATATATATATATATATATATATATATATTTATTTATATATATAATTCAAAAGAATGCAGAATGCACACCATGAGTGATGCCTGTGCACAGGACCACTTAGGTTATAATTACTTTCAGAAGGATTTTTGTTTTCATTGTGAGGACAGTGAAGGTTCTTTGTAAATAAAATGCAGCAAAGAAAAACTAATTAACTCTCAGTAGTATAAAATCAAGGTGTCTTTTCGAAATACAAACTGTATCTGCAATATTTTGGAAACCTGAGAAGTTGCTGTTCGATGCTCATCCAACGGGTGTGGATTCAAATCCTGTAGATCACAGGTGTCAAACTCAAGTTCCTGAAAGGCAGCAGTTCTGCACAGTTTAGTTTTAACCCTAATTAAACACACCTGACAAAACTAATCGATATCTTCAGGCTTGTTTGAAACCTACAGGTAAATATGGAGATGGATTGGAATTAAACTGTGCAGGGCTGTGGCCCTCCAGGAATTGAGTTTGACACTCCTGCTGTAGTGTGTCTTAGGAACAGACAGTGTCTAATTTTTCAAAATTGTCTTTACTTTTTTTTAGGAGTAAGTATTTTAGAAAGACATTATTGCAGCTGTATATATGCAAAGAACATTGAACTGCACTTAAAACAAAATAAACGAATCATGTCAAACAAATAAAAGTCTCGGTGTGTTCTGCTATTTGGAGGAGAGTATACGTTCAAGCAAGATGCCCTATTTCTTTTTTCTTTTTTTTTTTGTAGAAATAATAAAACTTCCCTTTTACCTCAGTTTTTTATCCTCCAGAGCCAATATTCACTTCACTCAACGCCAGAAGCAGCCTCACGTGCACGAGTCGTTTAGCTCTAGAAGGCTGTCAAAGTGGGCCATGATTGACAGGAACTCTTTCCACGCACTAATTGACGTGGAAAAAGTATGGAAGATGCAAATTATCTGGCATTTCATCGCCCCGTTTTCATAATCAGGAACGGTTCGAGATTAGAAGCCATTTGTTTGTCTGTTTGTTTATTTATTTGTTTATTTTCGGGCGCACGAAAAACTGTGGAAAAAATCGCTTGCGTTGCAGATTTTCTCCCTGTGATAGCATGTTTTTCGCTTTGTCTATTCAGCACACAGCGTGTCAGCGCGCGTTTGTGTGTGTGTGTGACAGCCGGTTGTGCGGCGGCGAAGGGTCGCTCACTCACCATCTGTAAATTGCTTTTTTTCAGCGGGTCGGTGCTGCGCCGGGGCCCCGCTCGCTGTGTGGAGGGAGCCGTTCCGCAGTAATGAGTTTGTCGGCGTTTGGGGATCGCGCACGGTGCGCGCCCTGGGTCACTAATTCAATCCTGAGAGCGTTCTAAATAATTATTAATACCTGCTAAGCGTTAATAGAGCTTCATAGGCGATTCATCAAGCTGTCGATTTATTTTAGGGGTTGCGACATTTTGTGTCTATGATTTCAAACACGTCCAATAAACGTGGCCAGCGTACAGACCTCTAGAGGGGAGGCTTTTTATTGCAACCCTTTGAAAATGACCATTATGAGTCCAATCGTTAATTTAGTGCTCTTTTTGACAACCCATATACTCCATAATGACGTATGGATTGCTTGTTTGATTCTTAACAGGTATGTAGGCCTACATATAAAAAATGGTTTATGAGCACGATGTAGGCTACACATTTCCAAAGTGTCTTCATAAGAGTGTGTGTGTGTGTGTGTGTGTGAGAGAGTGTGTGTGTGTGCGCGCAGTGCATTGTGCGTGTGTGTGTGTGTGAGAGGCTCTTGTAAGCTGAGCCATAGAGACGCTGACTACAGGGGAATCTCATCGGCAATGCAGCCTAGACGCCAAAGAACACACTACCTCTTCCTCTCACTTCCTCTTTCTACTTGCCTCCATCTCCATCATTAAATGCACCTTGGCCTATGGTATGAAAACCACCATGCAAGATAAAATGTGGGTCTAGGTATACAGTGCATCTTTCATTTTGGTACAGCACAGCCTTCTGACTTAAAAACAAAACAAAACAGAAAAGCAAATAAAGAAAATTAAAATGAGCTTTGTCCTCATTCACACATATTAACTTACACATCATGCTTATAAATAAACTGTCAAAAAAGAAAATAAGTAAACTCACCTCCTATCAAAACAAAAACAGTGTGTCAGTTGTGTACTAAGCTAGGATGAAGTGATAGCTGTCACACACATTGTCTCCTCTGACACAGCAGAAAGGAGAGGAAGTCAGGAAGAAGAGTGGGGGAAGGGATTGAGAGTGAGCTGAGATTGAGCTTCAGTCTAGGATGCTGCCTATAAGCCGAACGAGGACAGACAGCATCTCAATGGCCACCTCCTGCTCCAACCAAACGTGGCCTGTTGTGTGCATAACACCGAAACATGACAAATGTCATGTTTAGCAACTCAGTGTAAGTGTCATCCAGGCTACATTTCCATTTGAGAAAGATGCATGCAGGCCTTCCCGTCGTCTGCTTTTAGTAAAAAGTATAAAAAGCATTAGAGTCAGTAACACGATAACAATGCCTGAATGAAATGACATTGGGAAAAATAACTTTTACTTGGCTGGTCAGTAAATAGACACATGTCTCAAACTGTAAAGTAGCTTTCCTGAGACTGCTGGGTACTTAAAAGGGGGATAAAATGAAATTTACAGGGGAAATGAGAGGAGAAAATAAGATTTTTTCCCTTTAGGTTAATAAACTAAAATAACAAACTTTAGTTTTCTTTAAGTAAATTATAAGGGGACATTCAGTATTGTTATAAATTGCAAGTATTTTAACCCTCTTTGTTTTCTTGGACTTGTTTTTCTTAAACTGTTGTGCTGCATTTTGTTTATTTATTATTGACAAAATGCACATGAAAAAAGCACAATCCGGATGGTGAATCAATACATTTCTATACTTCAGTGTTTCCCTATTTTTCAGTCACTAAATGAAACACATTACAACATCAACCAAGTCACCTACTTCCAAAATAACAAAATTGCTGTAAAAAGGGGAACAAATAAAAACATATAATTTACAATGAACAGAAAAGAATCAGAATAGTCTAAGTAAACTGGCATTTTGGCTAAATCACTGAGTAAAAAGATCACAATTTTAAGGATGTCCATCAATCTTAATATGCTGTTTGAAAAACTCATAAGTGGTAGAGGTATGATGAAGAGCAAGTATGCACCATTACGGCCATTGAAACATAATAAAACAGAACATATCGACACAAAACTAATGAATATGTTGCATACTTCAGAATTTAATAAGAAATGTCTTTAAAAATAAATTGACATTTTTTTTAATATATTCTTTGTCGCAGCGTGAATGAAGCTGACGACCTGTATGTGTAATAAGAAAAGTCTTTTGCAGATTGTCATGCATGCGATGTAAAAAAAAAAAAAAAAGAAAAAAAAAGAACTGATATTAATAGTATAAGGATAATGTAAAAACTGCTGCCTCTAACACAAAGGCAGTGATATGAACACCAAAGGCAAAAAAGGTTAAGTGAAACACTTACTAACTAACCATCGTCTTTAGCCTTTGATACAACAACAGGTGGACAAGCAAGAAAAACTAAAGAAACTTCAAGAAAAACTAAAGAATTGCTGTTTTAACTTTACACAAAGAACGCGAACCTGAAAACTACATGAAAAAAAGAAACTCATCGGAATTAGACTTTCGCGTTTATCATGTCATATTAAACTTGCAGTTTTATTCGGCGTATATCAGAAAACAGCTCGTTTTATATAACAGGTCTACGAATGAAGAAACATTTGATTTAATACAATTTGAAGCTATTGAAATTTAATATGATTATTGCCATTGATGTAAATACATCTGGATAACCTAAAACATTAATACGCGGTCCAAACATTTACATTAAATGCGCGTATAATGTTTGCAATTATACAAATATAATTGATCATAATTTCTCAATTTTAAGTGTCAATTTAGTGATTATTTTGGTGATCGCAACCTGCCTCAACAACAATTTTTATTTACCCTTGATTAACAGATCAACATTTAAAACCACTCAGAATTAATTTATTGCTACTGTTAAATGATAGGTTGGCGAGTAATACTATTATTGATACGAATAAATCACCCGAGCTGTTTGTTTATTAATTTATCTTTTAACTTCAACCGATTAAGTCTTTTCTCCTGAAACATTTATGTTGATAAAATTTTAATGCTATAAAAGAATGTAACTGCACAGCGCAGATGTAAACTTGTTAATTTTAACGAGAATAAAATCTCCGACATTGAAACATTGTCTTCATATAAATAAAATGAATTATATTAAATTAATTTATTATGCTTCCTAAACGTAACAATTGCAAAACCATTAAAATACTATAGTTTAAACTTATTTAGTGTGCTTTATGCGGCGTGAGGCACGGTGGTTTATAAAATATTGGGTTTCTTTATAAACCATATTTCTTAAATTTCCATTATTTTTCTTTTATGTATATTTTGTGGCGTTTAAACAAATGATATTAATTTGAGAAACGAATTAGGTTTTTGTATAAGAATTAAAACAGATAACATATTTAGCCATGAAAAGACACTTGTTGAGTCACTGTGAAACAGGTTGAAGCATTTGACAGTAGTTTTTATTAAACATTATGAAAACAAGATTCTGAACAACATTCCATTTCGAAACATTTTGCTTTGGACTTACTGACACGTAAGGACATTTATATTTTCGATAAATATATAGAAATTATAGGCTATGTACAGTTTGTTTTTTCTTTTTTTTCTTTTTGTTTATTTCTTTTTTTTTTTTACATAAGAGAGCACACAGGACAGCACATGTGGTTATGTAACCCCAAGCCGCTGTGCCAGTTTAGACCAATATACAGAGAGATCGGTTCATAACTGCATCATAATTTAACCTATGAAACAATAATGGTAACAGTGTATTTCAGGTGAGAATATCAAGCAGACACTAACCCAGGTAAAGGAGATCTTATTTTAGACATTTGGCCGATTGAATTGTTAGTGAACTAAGCATACAGCAGGTCGGAAACAATTAAAAACTGGTTTAGGACAATTAACGTGCATTAAATAATCCACTTTGGCAACGTTCCCCATATAGTCTGAACAAGATGGGCTATTGTGTAAATCCAAATGATCGAGTTCAAATGCACATGATAAGTACTTGTAGTTAAGTTTGCACAAGTCCCTTGTGGAAATATATCCGGATTTGTTGTCGTGATATCTACCCGTAGTGTATTTGAGAATTATTAGAAGCCTTTTTATTATCATCACAGCATTGCAATGCAAAACAATAGGCAACTGCTCTTTATAGTGTATGCAAGTTTTTTTAAATGTATTTTTTATTTTAGTCATAAAAAAGTTAAAACAACCATTCCTTCCTTATTATTGATGGTTGTCAGATAGCTGAAGTTAGTTTTTGTTGTTCGTCATCTCGGCCTTTAAAACAAAAAGAAAAAAAGAAAAAAAAACTGATGATCGTATTTTAAAATTCATGTCTAACCAGGTAAATACCTTGATTTATTTTGAAGTAGAAAATTCACATAATCAGAGCTTCTGTTAATTGCTTTCGAATTTGGTGCATAGAATATAGCAGCAATTAAATCCCTTGTGTTTATATGCACTTTAGATCGACTAACTATGCCCACCCTGACAGCAATTCGATTATCACAGAGGAAATGTTATATTAAATCCCAATTCTTCGAATCATAGTGCAGTAGGCTTTCTTTGAAATTGTACATATTCAGTAGGATAGAATATCTCTGTCATTTGCATGCTACTACATACAAACATTGTATTAAGACGTTTTAAATAATCAAGCAAAAAGGACTTTAAAAAGAAGGGTAAATTAACACACCAATTGACCTCTACATATGTACAAGTGGAAATAAATAACTCTGTCTCAGTTCGGTGTTTTTTTCTTAGTTCTTGCTTGAAAAACAATAGAAAAAAAACGTAAGGTCTGGTATCATGTGATTTCGCAAGTACGGATGAGTTCCTTCACATACACGGTTTGTGTCGAGCAGAAGAAACGAAAAAAAGAGTGGTTAAGGGCCATGCTTTTCATCCAAGTGCTGTATGGGGAAGAGAGAAAGGACCTGACGCGTTTGGAGTACCATACATGTCCCGCATGCAGGATTGGTGGGGTAATGCAGACTTGAGCAATGCTTGAGGGCCCTCAAAGTTCACAAGTCCCCTCAACCTCAGTTCATAACTGAGAAAAGTCAATGATGTATTGCTATCTCCCTTTCTGGCTTATGTTTTAATGCTATCATCGCTCCATCAGAAGTCCATTTCGTTCCAGTTTTTTTTCCTCATCGCCATTAAGACTAGTCAATCCGTTAAGACAAAAAAAATTAAATAAAAAAAAAAGATTAAGGAGGCGATTTTATGTCTCTGACACAAACAAGTCGGGGTTTGCTGTTAACCTATTACTAAAACAAACAAACAAAAAAAAAGACAAAATCCAAAATTGATGTGTCTGGAGGTTATGAATGATCCCATATTTTGATCGGAGGTTTTATGAAGTAAAAGGGTCCGTGCAGTATTTGTGGAATATAATCCTAACATTACACTAACCTTAAGACTTTTATGGTGCAGTAGGTACATACAAAAGAAGTGAAGATTTTTAAATATGGCGCTGTAATGTTAGGTTATACACTCTCATAAATAACGTTTATGCAGTTTCTTTTCAGCACTTAAAGTTCAACAAATAACTTCTAATCAATAACTTCAGCGGCTATAAAAGTGGGTGGCACTTTTAGGAAGAAAAGGTTTGGCTTTGACTATATGGGCTCCCCAGATTTCTATTGGTTATCTTAGTTCTTTTTAAAGATCCTGAACAAAATAAAAATATGTTCTGCATTTGCATCAGACCGCACAACTTTTATTTAAAAGAGTGTATGTTCTAAAGTGAACCTCTGAGTGTGTATAAAAACAACTCAAATTAAAATTTACACTGAAAATCATAAAAAACAAATACGTTGGTGAGGGGAAAAGTCTTTAACAAGAATCACTCTCACATGAAGAAATCCGTGGAAGTGGTTTTAACGTGATTGCCGCTGGACGGGTCCCGAGTGTTGCCGCCGCCGTTAAAGGCTCGGCTCGCGAGCTTCTCGTACTTCTCCTTGTACAGGTCCCGCTCTTTGATCAGGCGCGCCACGTCTTGCTTGAGTTGCTCCACTTGGCTTTGAAGCGTGCACTTTTCGCTCTCGAGCATGTGGCGCTGCTGCACGCGCTTGTAGCGGCACGACTGCGCGTAGCCGCGGTTCTTCAGGGTTCGCCTTTTCTGCTTGAGACGGATCACCTCTTCTTTGCTGAAGCCTCTAAGTTGCCGGTTGAGCTCTCGCACTGTCATGCTCACCAGCTGCTCGTCCGAGAAGCGGTCCTCAAGGCGCGCGTGTGCGTGGTGGCCGTGGTGATGATGGTGGTGGTGCACCGGATGGTGGTGACCGTTCGTGGCTGCAGAGAGATCTTCTCCCACATACTGCTGCCCGCGGAATCCCTCGTAGGGCTGGTGGTGATGATGATGGTGGTGGTGGTGCGCGTTACCGATGAGCGCTTCCACTGCGTCCTCGGGCGTCAGGTTGAGGGCCTCTGGACTGATGTGATGCTGATAATTGGGAATCCAGTAGAGATCTTCCATCTGCGGTTTGCCCGAGGAGCCTTGGGTGTTGTTGTTACCGTTGCCACTGTTGTTGTTATTGTTGTTGACGCCGTTTACGAGGTTCTGGCCAGGCTGCGATCCAGGGCTGGGGGCGCAGAAGCTGGGCGAGGAAGGCACCGATGAGCAGGGTGTGCTGATTGGGGTGGAGGACAGTGAGCCCGGGGGAAGACGGTGGCAATAGCGGTCAGCCTCCGGGGGCTCTTTCTTGATCTCAAACTTCATGAGGTCGAAGTCGTTGACATACTCAATAGCCAGAGGGCTGTTGGGCAATTCTGCGCTCATGGCGAGATCGGTGGCCATGTCAGTCCATGCGACGACACCTACCCTAACAGCCAAAGCGTCACGCGTGTTTCACTGGGATTATGATGAAGACGACTAGTTAAGATGACAGGCCAGGGTCTAATACATTGGCACGAGCTTCTATTTATAGAAAAACATATGCCCATGCATTTAAATGTACTTATACACCTGCCACTTTGCCTCGTGTTGACAACTTATCCCAGGTCAAATTCACGCGTTAATATCACTGGCCAGGGTGGCAGAAACTTGAGACTCGTGAATTCAAAACCACCAACCTTACTCGTCCTCACTTCGCTGTGGTAAAGCACACGTGTGGTTGCAGAGAAATCGTCCTTAGAGCAACGAGACTTCAAATATCCTTCTTCACCTCTGCGGTTTAGTTCCTTCTAACTGCTGGCAACTTTAATCGTCCATGAACTTTCTTCACATGTCGAGAAAAGTCCGACACACAACGCGCGTGCATCAAGTTCAGAACACGTCAGACTTTACCTCAAAGTCCAAAGGAATGATGCTTTTGGCACAACCGGCAGCAGAAGTGGACCGCAACAATATGTGTGTGTGTCTGACAAATCTCCGTAAGATCCTCTGGTGGGACGTGCCTCCAACACAGCCCGGCGAACAATGCGCAATTCTGGCTCAGTTTACTTCTCTCCGTGGACAGATTTAAAGTTATAGACTGCTGTCACAGTTTACGGCTTGAACTTATTTTTGCACTGTTGTCCACCGCTGACACGCAGTATCACTGGAGCACTGAAAGGGGCAATGTACCACTTTATACACATGGCCCATCTGAGCGTCCCACCCAGACAACGGGACGGACCAATAGGAGAAAGCCCAGCAGTAGGCATGCATATTCTGAGAGCAACGCCTCTCTGTGGCAGCTGAGGCGAGCGCGCAGCAGCTGACAGCGCGCTGAAACAGGTGTTCCTCCCGCCCCCTAGCGACGTGGAAGGTGAACGCGAGGAAAGGGAATAGCCCAGCTTGTCTTACTTAGAAAATGTTTATCTAGAAAAGAGCAAACACTTCTTAAACGTTATATGTAACTCTGTGCTCGGTAAAAACAGATGAATACAGCTCATTGTACAATGTAATAAATAATAGTGGTGATCTATATTTTGTATAATAGCCTATGCATTTTATAATATACTAGGTGTTCTAAAAGAATACCTGCAGGACATTTTAGGTTCCCAATGAAAAGTTATTATAAGATCCTTTTATATTTTTAGATATTTTTTTTCGTATGTTGGGCATGATGTTAAAGGTTCTTCATGTAGCCATCAATGCCAATAAAGAACATTTTTACTTTCAGAGTGGAACCTTTTCCATTACACACCCTTCATAGTAGGGAAATGGTATTTTAAACAAAAAGGTCAAGAGAAAACTTACTTTTAAGAACTGCTCACTGAAATACTTGCTATATAAAATCGACTATTCATTCGTCAAATGCTTTACTTGCTCAAAATGTACTGAAAAATATATATTTTTTGGACTGCATGCATGGATTATCAAATTTTGGTTCCCATAGAACATTTCAATGAACAGTTCTTTAAAGAAAAGTTTTAAATGAGATGATAAATTTAAATGGTGAAACTATAGTTTAAACATATGCTTTAACTTTTCACAAAAAAGCCAAAGTATTAAAAATGAAGTTCATTTAGTGTGGGGAACATTTTAATAACAATCTAACCTTATATGGAATGGAAAGGTCCCACAGATGTTCTTCATGAAACAACAATAAAACACTTTTATTTTTAAGAGTAAAAAACTTAGTATCCACAGATCCTTTTCATTTTCACAAAATGCTCTTTAAAGTGGAGGGAAAGGTTTTTAAAACCTCTTATGGAGTTATAAAATACGTTTGGAATTTTGCCAGCAACTACACGTGCTCCTCTTTTCTTCTTTGCAAAATACATTAATATAAGTATAATTTAACAATAACGCAGCATCACATTCCATTTCACAACAAATGTTCATTAACATTTAAATATTGATTCAATTATTTTTTATCAAAACGTCCTATCGTTGGAAATTCAGGAGTTATGACATGACGATAATTGTTTGGGGTGAAAAGAAATCTCTAGTGTGATTGGACAGACCGTTTAAAGTTTAATTGATTAGATAATTATCTATTAAACTGCATATTTCCTCGATGCGCCGTGACAGTCATTCAGTGTATTGATCTGATAGGATAACACACACGCAACTTTCCTCCCCGCTTATGACCTATAGGCGGTGATGAACTCAATAACGCGTGATCCAGCAATAAAATCAATCCACATTTCCGCCGGATAGGGAAAAATGCGCAATTTGTGCGGGTGAGTTAATTATGATCCGCCTCGCCAGTGCCAGCCACGCTCCGGATTTCTTTCGCAATTAACCTCTAATTGCATCTCGACTCATCTGCGCGGATCGACAAATAATTAAGCCCCACGCAGCGCGCGCCTTCATCACCATAGCATATGTCTTAATCAGAGGAGCCGGTCGCGCGCTGAAAGAAGTACCAGAAGATGAGGGTCAGTCTAACACGAGCTCCTTATCGCAGAGTAAGGAATATAGATCACTAGCGCATTGTTAAAATAAGAGAGAAAGAGACCTATTCAGCAATCCTTCATTAAATAACCATCACCTAATGCATAAAACTGACCAGTTTAAACCAACAATCTTTCAGATAAAGGTGCTAGAAAGAACCAAAAAAGGTTTTCAAGGTGATCTCATCAGTGAAAAGTTGTTAAAAGGATCGTTTTTTCTTAGTTAGAAGAACATTTTCATAATTTAAAGAACAAATTGTCCACTCTAAAGAACATTTTTTTGTACAAAAAGGTTTTTGTAACATTAAATGAAAATTTCACCAAAAAAAAAAAAAAAATGCACTCTTCATTTACTCACCTAGAGTGTGGTGAGTTTCTTTCTTAAACACACAAAAGGAGATATTTTGAATAATGCTGAAAGGTGGTGCCCTTTGACATCTATAGTAGGCAAAAAGTACTATTGAATTCAATTGCTCTTGGGTTTCAACATTCTTCAAAATAAGAATAAGCTCAAACAGGTTTGGAACAAGTGGAGGGTGAGTAAATGAAGACAGAATTTGGATATTTTTTTTACTGTATTACCCCTTTAAAGGTTACTGATGTAACAATCACTGCCACTTAGCATGATTTCAAAGTGCTTATATCAATATCAGAATAAAATCTGCTGCATAAATAACTTCTCACTATACGACTGAGGCCTTTTCTAACTTTACGTAACATGCTAAGACTTCCTTTCCAGGTGCCAATGAGTGAAATACAGACACGCTTGAGGCTCAAATCTGCCAACGGAGGGGAAAAAAGAAAAGGAGCCTAAGAGGACGGGACAAATCATATCAAGGTATTTGAAGTTGAAGGTGCGCTAAGTCATTATGGGGGTTTTATCAAATAAGCACGAGTGGACCTCAAAGTCCAAGCTAAGCAGTCCGCTTTGAAAATGCCACATTTAAGAAGATCTGCCATCGTCCATTCAGTGAGCGGAGGTGGGTGGGTGTGGATGTGGCCGAGGGCTTGAGACATAAATTTTTGAAGTCAGGGCTTTCATTGTGCCTTTGCATATTGGGAGTTAGCTGCTGGTGCAGTTCTACCGATTTAAGCAAAATGGACATCAGCATGGCCAAGGAGAAAAAAAGGAGTTTGATAGTGTAAAAGAGAGAAGGGGGGGTTTGGATTGGACAACTATGAATATGAGTGAAACGGATTTGTCCGGTTAACCCGTCTTTAGCCAAAATACAGCAGTTGAGAGGTGTGAGGTGGAGTAGGGGGTTATCAGAAGAAGGTTTGGAAAGCAGGTTTTTGTGGGTCTCAAAATCTCACAAAATTCCCATTCAAATACTCAGCAATAATCGCTTGGCTATATTCAAACTAACAAGTATACAAACTTCTATGAAGTTCTCAGCAGAAAAGTGAGCCATAAAGAGCCAGCTGACAAAAAGCAGCACAACAGTTTTAGAAACCGTATTAATCAGCAACTTTAACTTAATTGTAACGATGCCTTAGATTGTAGTTTAGGGTGATTATCATGTAACTATACAGATGTATAATCTAATTCACAGCAAAATTTGTAATTAATTTGTGGATTTATGCAGAATGATTTTGAGAGTGTAGGATCTGAAAACCTTAGAATGTTAATTTAAGTTTAACAATCAAAATCAGACACATTTAGAACCCTTTTTTTTGTGAACAAAGCTAAAATACAGAATATATATATAATGTTATGACATATATGTATACCAGCTTTCTATATATGTATGTATATATATATATATATATATATATATATATATATATATATATATATATATATATATATATATATATATATATATATAAATAACACAAATAAAAAAGAAAGTAGTAATTTCTAAATTTACATAGACTTGTATTTAATCTTGGTTTTTGCAACATATTTCAAAAAAGTTGGAACAGTAATGCATTTACCACTTTGTAATGTTGCTATTCCTTTTCACACACTCAAAAGACGTTTAGGGACTGAAGTCATCAAGTGATGAAGTGTTTCAGGTGTGATTTTGTTCTATTCTTCCTGCAAATAAATCTTAAGATGGGCAACAGTACGGGGTCTTCTTTGTCACATTTCGCACTTCAAAATGTGCCACACATTCTCTATTGGAGACAGGTCGGGACTGCAGGCAGGAAAGTCAAATACCTTTATCCTCTTCATTGTGATGTGCGCAGAAAGTGGTTTTGCACTGTCTTGTTGAAATATGCAGGAGTGTTCTTGTAAAAGAAGGCAGCATATTGCGCTCCAAAATGTTCATGTACTTTTCAGCATTAATGGTGCCATCACAGAAGCGCAAGTTACATTTGCCAAAGGCATTGACACAACCCCATAGCGTGACAGACCCTGGCTTGATCTTTCTTTTTTTTTTTGGTCCGGAGCACAGAGCGTTCATTTCTCCATAAAATACCTGAAATACTGATTCATCTGACCCCAGTCCATGTTTCCACATTGTGGTGGTCCATACCAGATGCCTCCGAGCCCAGAAAAGTCAATGGTGCTTCTGGACACTGTTTACATAACAGTTAACATAATTTGTGGATTTAACTATGTATTGTGGCACTTGACAAAGGTTTTCCGAAGTAGTGCTGAGCCCATGTGGTGATATCACTTCTAGATGAATGACGATTATCGATGCAGTGCTGCCTGAGAGATCGGAGATCATTGTAGTTCAGCTTAGGCTTGCACCCTTGTCTTTATGCACTGAAATACGTTCAGATTCCTTAAAAATATTTATATCTTTCATTGAGGAACATTGCTTTTAAACATATCAATAATTTTCGGACATTTGTTTGCAAACTGGTAATACGCTGCCCATCTTTGCTCTGAAAAGACAAGAGCTTTTTTTTTGGATGCTCCTTTTGTACCAAATCATAATTACAATCACCTGTTGATATCACCTTTTTTAAATCACATCATTATTTAACCAAATATACCTGATTACTAGCCCTAAATTGCTCCTGTATCAATTTCTTTTGGAATGTGTTGCAGGTCTGAATGACAGGAAATGATGTATATTTCATCAATTACATCAATGAAATTAAGGTGATCAGACAAAACATGAGATATTCTGTGTTCATGTTGTCTATAATGAGATATAAGTAAAGTAAATGTGAAAATCCATACTTTCTATTTTTTTATTTATTTGCATTTTCCATACTGTCCCAACCTTTTCTGATTTGGGGTTGTACTAAAAATAATAATGGATTGGGACCACTTGAGTACTCAACCACGTGAGTAAATGTTATTTTATTGTATCATCTATGAATTAAAAATAAAATAATTAAATAGTTGTTTTAAAATACATTTGTATATATTAAATTCAATTTAATGCATTTCTCCAACTCTCCAATTTTTTTGTTTGTTTTTGATTTAACCAAAGAAATTAATGAA